ATCAAATATGAGAGGGCGTCTTATAAAATTCGCTATATGATATGAGGGAAAATACATCGTAGTAAACGGTGTTTCTTTTGTGTGATTTTCACATGAATTTCTTAGATCTGCTCGTGTGTGAAAAGCCGCTGATGATTGCTGGTTAGCTTTTGTCTATATAGACAGACAGGTAACGCACCCTTTTGGTTTTATCCAAGACGGATATGGCTGTCATTCGTTGAGATGAGAAAGCACCCAAATGTCGACGACGCGACGCCGCCGCATTGTGTTTGTGTCGTCTGCCACCAAAGGAAATGGGTAATCCCTGCAGTTTGTCGAGTTAACTCTGTATTATTATTATTATTATTATTATTATACGTAAATCTTTTTCATTTGTACTCGCGTCGAACACGAAATGCTCCAAGTACGAACGGAAATAGAAGCCATTGCGTGCGCTTACCGAAAAGTCTTCGGTAAGGGATTTAATTTAAAAAAGAAAAAGTCTTCCAAATATTAGATTATACCTGACAATTTTATTTTCTCTGTGGAAACGAAAAATTCTGTAGGACTGTGTGGTGTTTATTACGCTACCAACGAAGATATCTATTGACAGCATATTATAGCAAATTCGAAGTGTCTATTTTTCAAGAATTTTCATTGGTACGCTCTTGATCCTGCCTAAACCTCTAAGTGTGATGATTCTACTTCGCGTTATTGGTATTTCTACTAATAAAATCTGTAATCCACACTGTCGAAGAAATCCCGAGCTAGTCTACTTCTAGTATATGATGGGACGTTCTTAAGGTCGCTTCGGTAGCCTGTAAGCGTGTTTCAGTCTGGTGAAAATTCGGACTGCTGCGAAATAGGAGTGAAGCAAAGCTAATCCACCCATCAGTTGTTGAAACCTACATTACTAGGATCTACTTGAGACGGAGCGTACAGGCAATCTGATCAATCTATAAAGCGAGATAGAGAACGACAATAAATCTAAGGTTTTTTTGCATACCCTACGATGTCTGGGCTATACGGACAAGATATCACATCGAAAATGATTCCCTACACGAGGATATGCCGACTAATATCTTCTACAGCGACAGTATTATCCCAACGTCAGCGAATTACTTCTGAAGTTACTCGCACTCGCGTTCGAACTTCATGATCAGATTGTGTCTGGGGGCTATATTGATGACGCGTACATCATTACCGTTACCATAAACTAATTAGCAACAAAACAGATATCTGTTAGAAAATCAAAATCTGATTTAACATTTTTGATATACTTTACACTATACTATTACTACTTTACTTTAACACTTAATGGTACAATCGATTGCGGCATGAGACTGAAACGCAAGCTTTTCGCTAACCAGTTCCTTCTCACGAATCCTTTTCGTTGCCGTCGTAGTTTCGTTTGGGGACAGAGCTGCCTCTACACAGTTCAACAGTCATCGTGATCTGTCGAAGGCGCTTTTAAAAGTTAACAGGGAAAACATCGATTAATTCAAACGCTTCGCGCCGCTGCCCACTGCGTCGTCGGCGCCGCAGCTCAGATCACAAAGACGCATAGAAGACCCTGTCCCGACTGGATCGCAATAATTAATGGGCCCTAATAAATTTTACCAATTAAACTTTATCTAAAATGTCACTACGGCTACATTTCTGGTTTTAGTTAGTTGGTGAATGACGAGTAACACTTTTAGTAATGTTTTTTTTTACCGATTCTTTAACGGGGCTCGTCGTTGAAAAGTGCTGGTGCTGCCGCTGCCGCTGCCGCCGCCGCCGCCAATCTCCATTCGACTAGAAACGCAGTTTAAATAAGTGCCACCGTCGCTGAACGTGTCTATCTAACATCAGATACTGTCGGATCGCTCTCTCGTAGAGACGAACTAGTTGTCGTCTTGAAGACAGTTGTATTCATCGACTGTCCACCTACTCATAAATCTTAGTCTTAAACGCTAATCGAAACGACAGTTAACCTGTCGCGTTCTTTTGTCTCTGGGCGTTAAAATGTTTCTTCGGGAATCTCGACATCTGAAATTTACCTATACGAAAGCTATGGCATTAAGTCGGAAGGAGGTACGAATTTCTGTGGCTTTCTAGTGTATCGTCAGCGCCTACGCCGACGGGTGACGGACCAAAACTTTATAGAGTCAGTAAGTGACTCCATGACAACCAATAAAAAAAACAAACAACGGTTAATGAATTTATATGACAACTGTCGACGATCATGAATGTCGAAAGACCGACTAATAACACACGAAAAAAAAGGGACCCGATGGGATCTACAGCTGTCGGTTAGCAGCTTCGTGTTTGACTTCGTAATATGTTTGTATGCGACTGTGGAATTGATTTTGAGTCATACCGTTCTGGACCATTATCTTGCCGTTTATCAAACACAATAAGTATCACCCGTTATAATCGATGTAACTGTATCAGACACACAAATCAAACCTATTTTCCAAATGTGTCTGCGGAGTCATGGGACAAAGATACCGTAGCAGTTGTTTGGGAAGCATTAGCTACATGTTGTAGCCATAAGTGGCTTGTATTCCACGGTATCTATTCAGGTCTGATCTATTTTAATCCTATATTATAGCTAATGAACTTTGTTCTACCAGGTCTGACTCTTAGGTTTTTCACTATAATTATCTATTTACGCAATGCATAGCTGATCTAGCAAAAAAAGCTCAGCAAAAATTTGTTGCTGGCCGGGATCAGGCTGACGATTTAACAAGTTATTGTACTTTGTCAAGTGAAAAGTATAACTTGACATTTAGGTGCATTAAACATTTCCGCCACATGCGTCTCTGGAAAGCTTATAATTTCACATTTTCCAGTTTTTAACTCAGTTTAACAGTTTAAAACTCGATTTAAGGTAACGCCATTGTTGTTACTGTACAACAAGCTCGCGGACAGGGCGTTTTCGGTTATTAACTTGCACGTAACCATTCCATTTTACTTCTCTTCGTAACACATACGCGATGGCCAACGTTATGTCTGTTAGCGGATTTCTTTAAGCAAGTAGTTATAATAACAAGTAACTATATGAATCCTTAAAACGTTTTGATTTTCGTTTAGGTTTCCGACAGATAATCCGGTTGCGTCGGCCTACTCGACATAGGTACACATGGTGTTTGTTGAGGTTGAAAAACCGTACCACGTAACGGTGCAATGCTAATGTCATTGCTTGCTAAACCTGAGAATCAGAGAATAGCAGGTATAGACACGCTCCGTTTCGTCATCACGGTGTTCTGCAGCGTGAAGCAATGAACCTAACTCTAGGAACATTTGACATCTACTAGACCTAACGAAAAAAATCAATGTAAGCACAGGGCAATGACAAATCAGATCTAACTCGTCCATACATGGATGCGTACGTAAGAAAGTCTTGTATAGCCTTCCATTGGCGATGATTTCTGTGCTTATCGCGCTTGGTACTGGAGAAAATATTAGGAATGCTGATGCTTGAATTTGAATATCTAATTGTTATTGTAGATACGGGTCGGTCGGTCGGTCGGTCGGTCGGTTTAATCTTTAGCTCGTGCCTTTCATAAATGACTTACGTGTTTCGATAGGAAAAAAACTGATACACATTCAGCTGTTATTCTAAAATATCCTGAAACAAATGGGGTTATATGCTATCTTCGTTTGCTTCAGTTTTGGCATCTTGAAAGTACGAAGCATCAAAGCTGCACATGTTGAGGTCAACTAACATCTTGCACTAGTCTGTACTATCAATCTGGCATTGATTACGAACCAGGTTTAGCGAATTTTGGCGAATTTGAATTTATAACCAGCTACTTAATTTCGAATTGGCGCCGTTTTTAAATTCGGTCAACGAAGGAAACAGTTTCACTGTGGATTACCATATTCAGTATGATCTGGTCTGATCGTAAGCAAAATCGCCAACGACAATGAAATACCAACTACTATAAATAGCAGTCGGCATGTTGATTCAGAAGTGTATCTGCGGCATTACTAACTTCACACCGACGAGAGATCAACGATGATGAATAAATAAGAACTTATACGTAGGCACGCATGTGCCTTGTGGCAGCTTGAACCAGCTGAGACTTTCGTAAAGAACGCTCATCTAAGCGATACTTGGCCGTGTCTAGATGCCACAAATTTTATGCGATCGGATTCAACGATTATCTATAATCATTAAACCTGTTATTACCACATGACTCTCAGCTCCTGTGCCTTTTGGCCCACTCAGCAACTGTTCTAAGGCACGTAAACGCGAAAAAGTGTGATGTGATTAATGGTATTACTTATTACTTCTGCTGCTGCCGTCACCGAGTTTGGCTTCGGATACTATTAATTATTAACGAGACAGAGTAACGATCAGATTTTACGATCGCAATGGCGCATGGTAGAGCCCCACTGTCTGAGTGACTGGGTTCGGGAGGGCGGTTAGAAGGTTGTAACGGGTATATTATAATAAAGCGCTTTCCAACTTCCACGATCGCAGTCACCTTAGCATTGACCGCTGGCGACCGGTCTTTGCTAGTTCGCCATTACTGCAGCGGACTAAAGAAGGGACCGCGTGGCCCGTCCGGCTCGGGTTCGCATAGCCCATCGTACGATGGATTCACTCTCTCCCATTGGTGAGGAGACTGCTACTTTGTTCAGACGGCTGACGACATAGTATGCTACTACAGACGACTGGTAGCGACTGTTGCAAACTGCCGCCGGTGACGCCGCTGCCGGCGAACCAAGGAACGAACGATCTTGTTGGTAACTGTTAGCGCGCCCTTCCTCATTTAACGCGCCGTTCTGATCACGTCAGAAGTGGCGCCGTCCGACCAGGGCGCCGCCGCCACCGCTAACGCTGCAGCTGCTACTACCGCAAGTTCCTCAGACAGCGAGTGCTGTTTCCACTCTTCGGGCTAGTACTACTTAAGCGAGGCACCGCTGGAAGTGCCACACAGACTCTAGTGGCCGATAGTTGCAGTTAAAATTCAAGGTGAGCTGCAGGCTTGCGTGCGTGCGTGCGTGTGACAAATCGCGACTGGCGCTTAAGCAGATCATACGAATACTTAGATAAATACAAATTTCTTAAAATTTGTGTTGCTACATTGTGTGATAGATATAACGTTACGAAAACCACTAGTGAGAATTTTTCCTACAAGAAATTATCATCACTCTTATTATAGTTATTGTCATCGGTGTTCGTGACTTGCCAATCGAGACGGACGAGAAGGCTGTTAAGTATTGAAATGCCGTCAATGAGCCAGCTTCAACGTAGTTGATTCTACCGGGTCATTGTACTTGTACTACTCTACTTTCTAAACGTATATCTGGAACTTGCTGATGTAAAACAATGGATATAGCAATCTGTTCAACAACAGCTAAACTAGTGTTATTAATAATATTAGCAGCCGATGATAATTTCTTTTTGTGTTTTATATCTTCTAAAATACGTCACTTTTCTATTTTACGCAAGCAGGCTCTGTCTATCATAGGATAGAAACAAGCTATATCAGCTTTGTTGAAATTTACAGGAAGTTGTAAAACGTTTAGCGTAGTAGTAGCGGCGCCGCTAGTTTCATTAGCAAAGGAAATATCATGACCTTGTGCGTTCGAGATAATTCTCACTTTGGCGGTGTTGGTGTTTTGTTATCATACGTTGGATGCGTGCGCACGGGAACGCATACATACAGACCACCATTTTGTGGCATGTTAAAGTGGTTGCCGACGTCGTTAACACTGACACTTCCTCTATTTTACCATCACCTTCCTCCTCCCCCCACTTTTCCTCATCTGCTCTAAAAGTTCCTGTTTATTTAAATGTTTGCCTATTCGTCATCGCTAAGAGGCCACCTCTGGCTGTTCTTCTACTTTGAGGTATGTGTAACTCTTTTCTCTCGCGTGCGTTGCAATCTTTTGCCTAGCAAGTTAACACAACAGGAACACTCCAGTCCTGGCACTGCGGATTATAGAATTTCGGACGGCAACGTTTCTAGAAGGCCATCAGCTGCGAGCTGTCTTCCCTATAAGTCCGATTTCTCTTTTACTTGTCTTTTTCCTTCACATCCCCTACCATCTTCTTAGAACCCCGTGTCGCCCGCCAATGTTCCTCTTCGCCTCGAACGATCTCTCGGCGAAGCACTCCGGTGGGTCGTTCTTTGGCCTAACTCCATCTCAATGCTAGCTCGTCATCTCTCTGTTGTATGAGCCGACGACGCCCCCGCCGCCGCGAGTGGCACGACGCTGGGCGTGGTGGCGAATACTCTTGGGATTTCTTGTTCCCACTACCCATTACTTAGAGCGATTCCGGCCGTCTTGTTTTACTCTGAACGAAGCCCTCCTTCTCTGCACGCCTTCATGCCTTCTTACTCACTCTCTTTCCACCATTGTTTCAAAGAGTAGACTCAAAAGCTCCTTTCCTAATTTCCAGTTGTTGCTAATACCACATATCGTGTGCCATTCCCCTCAATCCTTCCTGACACCCCCGCCCCGCCCCTCGGTACGCCTTCCAACATCAGCCAACGACTGCACCTGTGGTGGTCCACACATGACATGCAGCACGACTTGCTGCCTGCTGTCCCATATCTAACAGGACGAATGAGGTTCCCAACAACGGCGATCGAAATAGCAGCTGACATTCAGCCTTCACAGACATCCTCTTCGGTAGTTGAGTTCCCTCCGCTCACCCTTCCCCACCGGCGGTGATGGTTAGAGGGGTTCTACCATCGCTAGTGCTGCCACTCGCTACTGCCTCCTCGACACTCGTACTAGTCGAATAGGAGGTGTTACGGTGCGAACAGAACGTTGTTCCATCGCTGCAAAAATTGCCGAATACCGCCACTCGCGGACACATGGGACCCGCAGGCCGCCCTGTCCATCCGTCTGCCCCGCCCGGTTTACTTCTATTGCCCCTGGTGCTACTCTAGGTGTTCGGGTATCATTCGCTCGCTTCTCGTGACATACCAGCCGGTCACGTTGTTAGATTTGCCCCTTATCAATAGTAACATCAGCGGTTACATCTGCACAACAGTCATAGGGACAACGCTGTGTCTATTTAGAGGGCGCGTAAGAGCGTGTCTGTGAGATGATTAGTACGCAGTCACGTGCGTCTTTCGCGGACGGTACCAGCATTGAGGCAGACGCCACGGGTGCAACACGTCGCCGCTTGCTTAGAGCAGGCCGTTCGGCGTAGCGATTCTGTACTGAAAATTAAGCACCGAAAAGCGGAAAAAAGATACAGGTACTGCTACTGTGTAGTGACGTCGTGACCGGTGATGTCCGGCCCGAATATCGTTCCTAGCTTCACCGAAGGAGAAGATTCGGAAGGGTCGATTTCGCTTCGGTCCACTGACGCCGCTGTTCTCTTTGCGGTGGCCGTTCCGTTTTTCTTTGTCTCTCGTGGTCTTGCGAGAGGCTCAATCCGTCTTTATTTACTCGGCTCCAGTACGCCGTCATTACGTTCAATGAGCTGACAGTCATGATACAGTTGCGTCACCTATCGATTGCTAAACAAACTAACAATGGTGGAAGTGTTTTCTTTTTTCGTTGTTATTATGGGCATCGTTTTGTGTCTGAGCAATACCTTTATTTCAGCAATGCGGTCGCTCGTTTCGGTTATACTGTACGGCGCCCTGCTCATTGCAGTTGCCTTACCAGGTGCACGAGCTGGGCCTAGTAATCTCTGCGATCTGAGAGCGGACCCGGACGGCGTGCAGTGTGAATGCAACGAGCATAGGGTTGTTTGCGAGGTTACCTCTCCTAATGCCACGTTTACATCCTACCGAAGCCAGCTACAACAGGAGGCATTAAAAAAACGTCGGGCTGCAGAAACAGTAAGTTTGTCAAACGTGATTATCATCTAGGCAAAAGCAACGATACCTTTATCCACTATTTTGTCTTCCATCTAAATCATAATCACCACTATTATAGAAAGCCAGATAGAGGCGAGCATTTTACGTAGAATATTTTCGAGTTTTTCTTCTTCCGGCGCCCTTCCGATCTCTCTACGTGTCTCATACTATCAAGCGGACGTATTAAACAATTAACAGCCCATTGGGTAGCCGTTATATTTATTAACTGTAAACGTTGATTTAATTAAGTGCCAGTTAGAAAAACAACAATAAATTATAACATATTTATTATCGAATATGGAATGGGAGTGATGAGGTCCATCTAGATGTAGCCTGTGTATTGGTGATCTAAGGCAGTGTAAAGAAGTGTTAGTTGCTGTCAACTGTTCTACTATTGTAGAGATAGTCATATCGTAAATTGGCCACCAAACAGCAAAAAGCTATGCCGTTCCGCTGGGATTGCGTAGGTTCGCTGTAAACCGTGGGCTCGATATGGCTAACAGAAAAACAAAGGACCAAACAGTTGTTGTTGGTATAAGCTTTCGTTTACGTACTGGTAGACGAAGATTGAAATAGCTCGTTGCATGCACGTTGGGCAGCGCATAACGGGTCAGCTTGATGAACAGATTGCCACTATCGATAGACATTGGATTGTTCTCGCTTTCTACGTCCTTCCACTTCGATGTATCTGTTCCGTCTGTGTAAAAAAAGTGCTCACTTTCTTCATGTAGTCGCACTCTCAGTTAACTGCGGCCCCATAGGATAACTCCCGAGTGTGCTTGCCCTTTCGAAAGTTCGGCCTAATATAGAAGGGCATATTCTTTGTCGGTTAAAATCAATGTCTATTAGGATCAATATTTCAAATAATGATTTAACGTCTAGGCATTCTCTTAATTAGAAAAATATGTATTTTTTTTTTTTGCTAAGTAAAGGTGGATAGTGCAATTAACGAGCATCAATGATGATAATTACTAAGTGTAAATAGAGACTAATTACAGCCGGCCCGCGCTGTGACGGCGATGGTGTCTTCATTGTCATGGCTATGGGTCGGCCCGGCCCGGCCCGGCTCCAACGTTTTTCATGTATTCTTGAAATCGTCTAGAACGATTTTTATTGGTATAGGTTCACAGCATGCTTCAGTCAAGAAGATGTAACGTCCAAACGAGCCATTGCCTCTCTGTTCGCCCGCTCGTATGCAGTCGTCTATTAGACGTATGCGCGTTTCGCCATGTCGACGCGTACGATAAATAGATTTGTATATAAGCGGCTGTCTCAGACCATTTTGAGTATTGCTAATAAGGCCACAGTGAGTGGCGCGTGTATATAGCACTCTATGTCTAATATTTCGTGTCTGTAGGTGTCCATAGAGAGAAGTCACTTGATGGCGATCTTTCTCAATCGAATTCCGTTTTGAGGATTAGGTCGTACGTTGCTGGATAAACAGTGCCTACGCCATCGCCGGGATGCTTCCTGTGTGATTTTTTTCAGCACAGGACAATCTAACCAATAATACGCTTCATATTCTTATTATAAAAGGAAACTTTTCTTTACTCTACTCGGTAGAGCTAAACAAAGCAGTAGAAACGGCTTCGTTTTATGGCTCCATTGAAAAATTAATAACGAATTCAATTCGCGTAATTCGTTGAGAATTATAGTGCGTCATGCTGTTTGTGCGTCGCTGTTTTCGTGCTGTTTCTAAAGAAGAGGACACAGATGACTTGTTAACCGTGCAGACCGGACTGTTAATTAAAGACGCCTTTGAATTGATCAAATGTAAATTATCTAAAAAAAAAAAGCAAGGCTTTTCGATACATGACGTATACTGCAAGCGTCTTTGAATAGAGATCTAGCCTGAAGAACGGCAAAAGTATGAAGATGCAACGAATATGTACTTGTACTTGAGCTTTTAGCAATAACAAGATAATCGACCAGACTATTTGAATGTTAGTATATGATTACTCTTAATTCAATGCGTCAATCAAACCTGTAGTAAGCTGAAGGATGGTTTTTGTCAAAGTTTTTTTGGAGCTTTGCAATCTAGATAGATATAAAATCATTCCAAAAAACCTGAAAAAAATTTTGTTCAAATTCAACAGTAAGCGCTGCTGACAATAAAACAACATTGCGAATCTATAGGCCTTCGTGAACTGATTTGCCTTCAAGGACCAGCCACAAAGACACCCGTTCTAAAGAATGTTATATTCTCTACCTTCATATTTAGGAATAATCATTTTTCCAGGTTTTTAAGAAGGGCCGAGAACCTTAAGATAGGTTTACGGCCCAAGTTGGCGAAGGTTTTTTTATAGTTAATGAGATTTAGCAATGAAGCTCATACTTGACCCTGCCGCTATTTCTGCTCTCGAATTGTATAGCCATCCCTTCTCCTGGGCCGATCATGTGGGCATTGATCTCATATTTCACTGCGTCTCCAGCATCAAGGTAGATTGTTTCGAAGCCTTGAGTATTATTACCTTGCTAGTTATGGCGTACAGACACAATATAATAAAAATATTTGACGATATGAGATAACGGCTCACGAGGCCAGTTACTTTGATTCGCGTCCTTCTGCATTCCCGCACAGTTAAATAGAAACAAGGTATAAACAAAGGCTGTTGTCGAAAAAGGAACTATACGTTGGCAACGTAAAATATAGGCCTAATAATAAAATCATGACACAATGCATAAACTGAAGGATCTATCATGTGTTATATGGTATCGCGTTCACTGGTATGTATCACGTCAAGAGTTCCCCGATTATATTAAAGCAATGTTTTCTACGTGACGTAATGTTGAAAATGTTTTTGGTTTTCGCGTTTTAATTACAGCTTGATGAGTTGGTGCTCCAGTCTTCTCGTAACGAGTCCTTTTTAAACGAAGTGCCCAGGGATATCTTAAAAGACCAGTTTCGTTTTAAGAACATTTCTATGGCTCGTGCCAATTTAGGCCATCTTGTATCAGGAGCAGTTACAGGAACGCGTTTCCTTAAAAAACTTAGCCTAACCGCATGCGGTATCAGTGGACTTTTCCAAAACGCCATTTCCAAGCTCCAGGTAAATATTAAACGGTACTCGTTTCAGCGATTTTTATCACATGCGACGACAAGTATCCCATGCTTAATGATGATGTTATTGTATATTTGGTAAACGTACATGCTTGTATATATCAGATAGTGAGAAACCTAACGTTCAAACAGCCTGTTTAATACGTTTAATACTGTTTGAATACGTTCAACCTTACAGAATCTTCAAGATCTTGACCTCTCACATAATCAGATTACAATTATTAGCTTTGGAGCACTTAAGGACCTACCGTCACTGAAGTACCTTACGATAGCGCACTCTGAGGTAGAGAATATCGAGCCTCACGCATTCGTTGAACTCACATCGCTTGAGAAGCTTTCTCTCAAGGTTAGTATGAGCGATAGGACGGTACCTTGCCAACACAGTGAATCTTGTCATTCACGGGCTAGCTTTCAATACGGGTGTCGATCTCGCTTCCTATTGACAGCCGGTCGCACGAAGCACTGGAAATGAAACTCAAGGCAATCATTCATACTCATCCTTACAGGCTTACAGCTAAAAAACAAAACAAAATATATATAACGGTTTGGTTTAATGTGACCAATTTCGGTTCTGTCTGTTTGGCCTTCTTTAGGATAACGAGATTAAAGAAGTAGACAATCTGCTGTTTACTGGATTATCAAATTTGCGAGAGGTTGAGCTTAATTATAATTACATTCAAAAATTGGACGACGATACGTTCAGAGATCTACCCCAGCTGCGGAGCGTCGACCTGAGAGGAAACTCTTTAACCACCATTACTGATAGCACATTCCATGGAATGCATAATCTCAACTATTTGAGTTTATATTATAATAATCTTCAACATTTGCCAGTGGGCTTTCTTAAAGACTCTCCTGATCTCAAAGAACTCAACCTTGAGAAAAATAGATTGCAAGTCGTTACCTTGGATATGCTTCGTGGACTAAGGGCAATTCGATCTGACTTCACATTACGCCTTAAATGTAAGTGGAAAATCGTCAAATGCATATAGTACGTTACGGAGTGGCTCTCATGCGTTGTAGTATCTCAGAGAACGCTGGTTCGATCTAGCTAACGGTAACGGCGGAAATTCTTAGAGTAGGAAGCCTTTTGGGTTATATAAAAAGCAAGATCCCCGAAATCCGACGCGATCTCTATCAAGGAGAAACGCTAAGCGTCAGCTTCCGTCCCGCCAGATAAACTTTGCATTTCCAGAAAACAGAGCCTTAAATAATCACTTTAGATGCAATGAGCTAATGATGCTACAATGTACCTTTTTCTTTCTACTCTTTTCCGTTATATTCCAGCCAATCCATTAATTTGCTCATGCAAATTGTACTACTTAACTGAACTCCGTAAACGACGGACAAATGGTTTAAAGGATGACCACCAGGAACCGTCCGAGTTCAAGAATCGTAAGTTGTTTTGTTGTTATCTGTTGGTCATGTGCAATATTTCACAGAAATGTCATTATAAATCATCTGACAAGTCATGTTTGATGTACCATAGCAAGCTAGTTCCCGTCGAATTCCCCTAACCCTACAAGCGAAGATTAATATAATTGTCATAATAATAATAATAATAATAATAAATATAATGTGACGCGTAATTTGACATGCTTCTACCGTTGTCACATCGAAGTTTACAGATATAAAAGAAAAGGTCGTTAGGTATACGTCCTGTTGCTGGCATAGTAACGTACTGACGAATAGCAGCCATCTGTAATATCAGTTGAATTTCTAATTGTGTCTTTACATGTCTTCTGCTTAATAACATTTCAGTACAATGCCGGCAGCGTATGGTTGACCACGACGAGCCCCGATCGTTCGACCAGTATCTCGCAACGCTTCAGTGCGTAGAGGACCCAACGCTCAGTGAGCATATCGTCGATCAGGCTGTCGTGGCCGGAGTACACACCATGCCGCAGCCCTCGAGGATCACGCTGTTCCTTGCACAGGTGTCAACTGCTCTGACATCGTGTCTAATTGTTCGATGGCTACATCTGCACTGAGCTAATCTAGTTAGCTCATATATGTACATCTTATCTTTAATTTCTTACTGGAAGCAATGGCCGTGTTTGCTTTGCTCCAATCAACTAGCCAAGTTCGAACTCCGAATGGACATCTTTGTTGGTACCTTGGCAGCGAAACGTACGCGTACGTAATCCGTAATTCGATCATAAGACACGTGCAAAAGCAGCGCGATTCCATGCTTTTGGCGTTCGTCATATTCACTCATTTTGCACGTCGTCGGCGAATTTATAAAACGCCGCACGCTTCCGATCGAAAGCGTCACCACAAGTCATTATACGTGGATCTCTGTTCGATGTTATTTCTCTGCGGTAATTTCGCTTTTACTCTCCAGAACGAACATGGGGACAGGGAAATGCAGTTTAATATAAAATGAAGAAAACAATGTACTAGCTCGACTCTAGAAGAGGACCGATGGGCGACAGAACAAGACGATATATGTAAAGACACGGATGCTACGCAGGTCTGAAAAAATTTACTAGACATAGACAACGAGAATCTGCTCTGAATAATTTTACCGACTTTTATAAATTTTAACAAGTAGTATATTATACGTTCAAGACACATGTAGCGGTGATGAATGAATGAAGAGAAACCTAGATTATATGTGTATATACCTATATATACATGCACATTTGCACCTATCTACGTTGCTCTTTGTTCATTTTACGAAGGTCTGTTTTTTAGAAACGTCTTCAACTGCCGCGAACTGCGTTACTGCACAGTGGGTCAGCACAGGTGCAAAGAAAAAAAACTCATAGGTGTGATAGATATCTACTGAAAAGTAAACGAATATCTAGTACATATGATTAGAATACATTTTTTAGAAGATCAAGCTAAGCTAAATAAGGACATAGTATATATATATATATATATATATATATATATATATATATACATATATATATATATACATATATTTGAATGAATGATATAGTATTAATTAATAGGAAAACCGTATGAGAAGCGGTGGATGCATGCTATACGCAAATAATGGGCCATAACGAGACAAGACCTACGGCCGCGCAGGATCTCGGCAATGTAGGAAATGTTTTTTTAATCAGAATATGCTAGGCAGGCTAAGAAATAGAAGATCGGAAACAGTAGCGAACGCAGAGCGCTCGCTGATATGATACACTAAAAATAGCTGTACATTACTTTTAGATAACGGTTTCTAATATAAAAAAAATAGCCTATGAACTGAGGAGACTGGTAGTGCACGTCTGTATGCTGACTCTGTTGTTAAGCAGCGAATAAGAGAAAGGCAACGTTGAGTAAAAGTTACTCGGAACTCGAAACGCGTTAAGTCGATTTTGTAGCCCAATTGTAAACGCAAGCAGAAAAAGCGGACGGTAGATAAGAATAGATCATATCAAGTGGGTAGGAAACGTTTTTGACGTCTCATGGTTAAGATTCACCAAAACAAGACGAAGATAACGTACCGAACGAAAATCAGAATGGAATAGTAGCTACTGTGCATCATGTGTACATAAAATGAAACGCTATCATTGGACCTTGTTTGTTCCGCATTTGGCATTTACGCAGGAGGATTCATTTAAAGAACACATGTAAAGCGTAGAAATAATGACAGGGCGTGACACTGGGATGAAAGAGGTGTGTTTAAGGTGGGACATTGGTTTGGGCAGAAATTTTGTGAGTGATGTGGCCTGAAGGACCCATGACGGCAGCAATGGTTTACATTGCTCTTCTGAGGGACGGCCCTAGCTATTTTGGTCGTATGCTCGAGCAAGTATGTGCCTATACGTGCGCACGTAATTTCGAATCTGTTAGAGACATTTAACTTCATAGAGGAAAGGCAAGACAACAAAATAGTTCGATCTTATATCACTAAGGACAGCAGAGTGTATCACGCGGAGAGTGAAAATATATTATGAAAGGATATTATTACCTGGTCGATCATATTGTCGACTAGTATATTTATTCTAGTTAGGTCTAGGAATAAAAAAAGGGAAGTAATAGTAAAGTAAAAAGCTGATGTGAACAAATAAAGGGTTCCTATGTTATTCAAAAAACTAGGCTTATATAACTCTCTTATCATTCAGCCATCTATAATAGTTTTATCATTCAGATGTCCATAAAATAGTGACAAGATAGTTGTCTAACACAGCGTATTCTTAAAAACGAGGAGACAGAGTGAGATCCTTACAAGGAAACAAACGACATTTTTGAGTAATTTGTTAGCCGACAAATCAACGTAGACAGGCAAACTTAATGATTTTTTAGTTGTGGTATTCGCATAAAACACTAGACCCTTGCCGGTTTTTTTTTACAAATAGCTTGTAAAAATAAAAATAGAGATAGTTTTGAAAAATCGTATTTGCAAAAGTTTAGCCTTGGGATGATCCCGGGAAATACGTAAACTGAAAATACTTTTACAAATACACTTAGACCAGTCAGTTGGAATTAAAATCGGTTATTACATTTTAAAGAGCTTAAGACAAAGGAGAGCTTCAATTCAATGAAACTATTTGTAAAGGAAGCTGCTTCTATAAAGATGATTGCAGTATCAAGATCAGAAAGATTAGTTATCAGATGGCGCTACGCAGATATGCAGAGGTGTGTATTTAGATGAACCAGTTTATCGACGACGTTACAATCTAAATATGTATTTATAGAAAAAGGATAAATAATTGCGATGAAAATTATCGTAGAAATCAAGTTACTCTCTCATAGGGTTGCTTAATTTGATAGTTACGTTATCATTTACTAATGTTTATTACTAACGGCTTATCAGCATTTAGCAGCAAGTAAGCAAAATTGGGTTCTATAACATACGATTAACTTTCTAACTACATTCCAAGAAAATAGACCGTGTAGACGCTCTATGGAAGCGGCAGTAAGAATTAGATTCACGCTTTCAATCGTTGATGCACGTGACCTAACAAAATTAAATACTGGGGTCCGGATTTTAGGCTCCAAAATGAAGGCGGGGAAGCAAGTCGGTCGTTGATTATAACTGCATAATGTTTCGAATTCTATTGGCGCCGTGATTGATTCGATGGCACGTTTCACTTTGGCATGGCCAAAAATATGAAAATCTCAAAAAGTGTAGCATTCAGGGTCTAAAAAATGTTATTCTTCTGAGAAGTGCTGGACGGGATCCCACATGGACCCAATTCGATAGCCGATTACACGGTCAGGAAGTCACTACTTTATTGTCGAAGATACCGCATGTTCAGGTCGACCCTCTGACTATGATAACACTGAAGTTCTCACTGTAGTTAACTAGAACCGATGTATAAGACATTGCCAGATTGCAAAAAGGACAACAGGATCCAAATGAATCGTGCAAAGACGTCTAACAAGCAACTGTTACAATCCAGGATACATCCGAGTTCCTAATAATTTGACCGATTATCAGCTTGTCATGTGTGCACGGCCAAAACTCCGTGAATCAAAATTCCAATGAGAATAACCTTCTCGTTGCAAAGATGGTTGATGAATGAATAGTAGAATCACTCAAAGCTGCTTTTGGCCAAAGCGTGCTAGTGTTCCCCGACTCGCTCCAAAGGAAGCCATGCTATGCACTTTGTGAGATCGCAAAGAACTGTTCTTTCATGAGCGTCTCAAGCAACCAATTCGTCCGTTATCTCAGTTAAACACTATGCACCATTCAAGCGTTTAACGCAACGCGTCTACAAAAAACACCCAGTTATGGCCAATGCCATAACAGCGCACGGCATCATACATCCTCATCGACCTGTGGAAAGAAATGTTTTGCCTCACTCAACCTAGAGTACTAGTACAACTCTTATCTTTTCCCATCATCTTCTTGTGGAACTCCATTAATCGGGAGAATTTTGTATCTCTGGAAGGTGCAAAAAGCCAGTTTATCTCAAATACATTTAACTTCTGGAAAAATTGAATCGCTGCCTGGAAGATGAACGAAAGTCATCGTTGATAATAGCCCATACTTCTGCCCATAGATTAGAATTGAGTTATTCTTCTTATAATAATGTTAAAGGGTATACTAGTACTGACGTTGTTATTTTACTCCGTCTGCTTAAGGCACATAGTACCCTTTTTGCGCCTTAAAAAGGTGGCTAAGATCAACGAAGTTGTGGGAATTGGTTTCTTTTAATTTATTGCCAAGACGTGTCGGTGGCTGTAGACGCTGAGGGGACTCCTGAGACTTTTCATATCAGATATATAAAACCGAGATAAAAAGACGCCATGCTTGTAAAGTTGTCAGCCATTCTTAACTTACGCATAAGACTCGAACTAATTAATTTATCCCGTTCTACCTTCGAGTCGCTTTATTCCTCGACTTCTGCTGAAACCGATTAACCGATTCTACAAAAACATGTCTCAGCATCGGTGTTTTTCAGATATCATATGCCGTTCATTGTCTTAATTAGCTCATTCGAGCGGTTTCCACGGAAAAACTAAATAAGAAAGATATTTGCCAAATTCATAGAAAAAGTGCTTTCGTTGATACCCTCATTCATGATTGTGCATTTTGTTTACCATTCAACACAATGTAGGCAAATATAATTTCGAAAAATTCTAAATTTACAGGGAAGATTTTTGGGTTTTGGCTTTTACATAGAATAACACTTCGGTTCCTTCCGACCCAAGCCATTACCTATACCTTCTCAACAGAAAACCTATCGACATTGCCTAACCATACCCCATCAAGAGGGTGAACGGCCTTGAAAGAAAGTTATTGTTTTAATAGTTAAACGTGAATTTCGATGTCAAAATTCGACGGCAATGGTAAATATATTAGAAAATTTGTAAATAAATAAAATTGACCACTAGTGATAGATTTAATGCTAATCTTGTATATATATCCTACTAATCCCAATAGTGTTCCCAACCTGAGTCCAAATTTTTCATTCAGCCACTACCACACAGACTTCCATGTGACAAATTAGTATGAAAGTTTTCATATAGAAGGCAGAACATATCTCTAAATATAGAGGTTGCATATATTGAAAGGCGTATAGATCTTAAAATTATATATATATATATAAAACAATTTTGTAAACAACAGCCAGGAATCTCTGTGATTACGGCCGCGAATCATGTGTAGTAACGTAAAATACAGAAAGACAAGGGTTTAATTTGAAATGGTTTAAAATATTGTCTATGATACCTATCTAAAACACATAAATCTTGAAAACACAGGAGATAGTACGAGCATTTTTCACAGTCGTTTCTAGCAATAGTTAGAAGAAATTATCACATTTTGAGAGCAAATCATTATAAGAGTTAATCGGTTTTTCTAAAATTATTTTACTAAAACCACCAAAAAACAAGGATCTGGGTTAGCATCCAAAGCGATGTGTTGCTATATCGATAACATCTGAAAGCTACGATTTTGATATGTCCAACATGGCAGTGAATAGTTTACAGGAAATAACAAAAATGTCATGGGGCGTCAGCGAATTGAACTTCAGTCCCACGCAAAGCTTTCTAATATGTCATTCTTAATATTAATATAAACATATAGAAGATAAGCGAAGTTCCACTATTACACTGAAACTTTCGAAGTTTTACTATTTAAGTTCAGTGGCCTTTTGCTATTAGGATTCGATGCAATTTTTTGGCAGCAGCGTTTCAGCCACAAGGATTTTGCTCAAACTAGAAATTTTATTTTGGTTTTTAGAGATAATTGACACAGATTGAGCATTTTTATTAAATGTCCATTGTTTTTATTTTCCTACTGATAATCCAATAGGAACCTTTTCATGTTGTAAGTAAGCCGAAGTCAACAGATGACTTTTAAAGATGTTGCCGTAGATCATACTTTAAAGTGCGCCAATACAGCTAGAAACGTTCCTTTATGTCTTACTTAGCTTAAGAAAAGATTATCCCAAATTGGCAGCTTTATAACTGTTATGTTTTGCCATTTATAATGTTCTATCAGGTTAGGACTCTCGATGAGACTCGATTTTTCAAAGTCTCCAGCGTTGCACTTATAGTATATCGCTACACATTATTACATCGTTATAGGTAATGCGATAAAGCTTATGTATCTATGCATCCAGCATAAAAACATATTTTAGTAATTTTTTTTCCTACCTTTTTGCAGGTGGCTTGAGTATGACGGGAAAGTTCTGCACTAAAAAGTTTACATCCGTGAGAACCCATTTTCATGTAAAAAAAATCCATTAAAAAAAAAATATATATATATATATATATAATCTTGGAAATTACCCTTGTTGTACTCTTTAGGTAGACCTGCTTTGTCCAAAAACATCGATGAACACTCAAGCGCCGATAGTCAGTCTACGCGATACTTGTAACTTTCCGTTTCATTTCCGAAAATATGGTATGTAGTAATCTATTTTGGCAGATTTTAATGCGAAAAAGGCGAATTTGAAATATTAGAAGTCTCATGTGTACAATATAATAACAAAGTAAAATTTAAATGACTGCTATGGCAAATTTTTTTTTGTTTTGAACTGAGCCTCCACTTTTTCATCAGGAAAAGTCTTTGTAATTACGCTTCGATACTACCTCAAAGCCTGCCAGCACGAATCTTGCTAAGTTTACCTGAGATTCCCTGAATAGACCTATGGGGCAATAGGGTTAGAGTATCAGCAGCTCCTGTATCGATTGTACCATTTTTCCGCCATTTTTACCCTAAATCGTCGTAAATCCTTGTTACTAAGATTTGAACTAGCGTTTGCTGGCGTCCTTATCTTGACTCAGAAAAATGCGTATTTGCTAGTGACCTGCCATCTCAAGCAAGTCGACTCGTACTAATGGTAGAGATTTATACAAAATATATCCTTTAACAAACATAATTTAAAATAACAAACTTTTCAAAATCGCTGTAACGTAATGACCGTTTATGGAGGTTCGTATCGATGTCATATGCGGCATAAATGGCTATCACCAATTGAAATTTGGCTCCGAAAAACAAACCCAATACATCTAAAGTATTCATCAAGTGTGACTACCGGTCCCATTGAAGTTGTGTTCTCGAAGACATTAAGTAGAATTTCGTTGACGACAAATGTTTGATTAACATTTCCGTTATCCTAACTTATAGTGACGTGTGATTGAAGTTCATCGTTCAATAAGAAATGATGGCTATGGCAATATGTGACAAGTGTATCCAAATACGAATGTATGCATCCTTCTAGGAGCACTTGCAAGTCCATCTGGCGCCAGCATAACCGACAATGAACTGGCATAATTGAGAACCGGCACCATTTTATGGTGCTGGTTTTCGTGCACATATAGCGTGTGCAGGGGAACGTGAGCACATCCAA